AGACCTGAGTACTTTTTTACTTTAACTGAAGTATAAGACCTGAATACTTTTTTACTTTAACTAAAGTATAAGACCTGAGTACTTTTTTACTTTAACTAAAGTACAAGACCTGAGTACTTTTTTACTTTAACTAAAGTACAAGACCTGAGTACTTTTTTACTTTAACTAAAGTACAAGACCTGAGTACTTCTACTTTGACTAAAGTACAAGACCTGAGTACTTCTACTTTAACTAAAGTACAAGATCTGAGTACTGTTACTTTGATTAAAGTACAAGACCTGAATACTTTTTTACTTTAACTAAAGTACAAGACCTGAGTACTTTTACTTTGACTAAAGTACAAGACCTGAGTACTTCTACTTTAACTAAAGTATAAGACCTGAGTACTTTTTTACTTTAACTAAAGTACAAGACCTGAGTACTTTTACTTTAACTAAAGTACAAGACCTGAGTACTTTTTTACTTTAACTAAAGTACAAGACCTGAGTACTTTTACTTTGACTAAAGTACAAGACCTGAGTACTTTTACTTTGACTAAAGTATAAGACCTGAGTACTTCTACTTTAACTAAAGTATAAGACCTGAGTACTTTTACTTTGACTAAAGTACAAGATCTGAGTACTTTTACTTTAACTAAAGTATAAGACCTGAGTACTTTTACTTTAACTAAAGTATAAGATCTGAGTACTTTTACTTTAACTAAAGTACAAGACCTGAGTACTTCTACTTTAACTAAAGTACAAGATCTGAGTACTTATAGTGTCCCAGGTGTAAACGGGTGATCCACCTGAGCGTCAAACAGCTGTCGGTACACCTTCCCGCTCGGAACCGCTCTGCTCTCACACATCTTGCCGGTATCTACCGGGAATATACCGGTGTGTTTCTCTGTTCTGATCTGTCCGCCAGTCTATTAACAGCCGGTTAGGGTTGTGTTTTCTCCGGTAAACTCGCTGTGTTTTCTCCGGTAAACTCGCTGTGTTTTCTCCGGTAGACTCGTCGGTAGCGTCCAGCCGGTTTGTGCGTCTCTGCGTCACCATGGCAACACGCCTTCAGAAGTCCATGAGGCGTTCACTGTCTTCTGAGAACAATCGTACATTTCTCAGTAAGTCTTTACAAATACAGACTCAAAGTCAGCTTTGTTCTCAAGTATTCCACGTGTTATACAGAACATGAGACATTTGGTCAAGTTTCTCGCTGTTATTGGTGAATGGGTGAATTGCCCTAATGTGGGACATTTTTGGCTTTTCAGACTTCGGGAATATATTGCGATATGAAGCCAATACAATAAATCAAAATCCAGTACCATTCTGAAATCCCCAGGATGTGTCCTAATCAAACCAAGTGCCAAGTTGTCTCAGACAATCTGCTCTTCCTAATGTGGGACAGTTCTGTGCAAAATGTGGGACACTGAAAAGTCAATGTTAAAAATCCTCAGTCACCTTAATTCATGTAATAAAAACATCTCAGGTCAGTAACACTCAAAGCTAAATGTGCAATACCATGTTCAGCTATGTTACTATTTATAATGTTATTGTTGTTACATCAGAAGATGTTTTTCTTTAAATTGAAGTTGAATGCATCAATCTGGTGCACTTTGAGGGCAAAATTAAGAGAGCTCTCAACACTCATATGAAACAGAACTGTATATATTTCAATAATCAAAAAGCCATTATGCTCACAACCAATAACAAATCATTGATAAACTCCTCTCTCCTTTCTTAACTTAGGCTATTTTTTACAATGTGTGTTGGAAGGATTTATGAAATGACTATGAATATTTGGGCTTAAATGAAATGCCATCTTTTAAACTCAGACATTTATCCCTAACATTATCCCTGACTTTGTCATACCATTTTAACAGAGATGCAGCCCCCCCCCAATTATTTAATATAATTTGCCCTTCACCTTAAATATCTAAAATAAAGCATTAGAAGACTAAAACCCTGTAAATAACCATTGCTCTTCACAATCCATGCCCCTTTTAGAACTGTCCCACATTAGGCAAATCACACTGTCCCACTTTGCCAAACATGTTTCCTAAAGTGGGACGATGGAACATTTGATTGAAAAAAAAAATATAGAGTAGCCTATATTTACACCATACTGTAATATGTTCTGATGAACAAACATATCATAAACACATCCTGATAAAAACTTGCAAGATTGTTTTATTTATACGAAATGTAAAACCTTAACATTACATTTGTCAAAACACTATATATCACGGACCTTTGGGTGGTCTTCACGCAGGGTACTTCCTGTTTGAAGGTTTTTCCACCCTCATCTGTGATTGGACATTTGAGAAGTCATGTGATTTTGATCGCATGACATCACAGCTTGTGTTAACCCGTAGTTTCATTGACTCTCATTTGTTTGCGGAAGACCTATTTGAGCTTAGGTGTCCCACATCAGGGCGTCTCCCACATTAGGGCAACTCACCATTGAGTTACTTCATTATAAGATGTTGGAATGCTCTCCTTTAAGCTCTATGAATGACACTTGGTTTCCGCACCACGGCACCAGACAGTTGGACAGCAACACACTGAACACAGTGTTAACCATGCAGCACATCACTTGTTCCCGATTAAAGTCAACAAAAATAAAAAACGTGTAAATAACCAGAACCAGGAAATATTTTTTTATTTTATAATTACATTGATTTTGCCTTGAATTAACATTATGGGAAACCTGTAACAGCTGGCATCGTATCATTTCTTTCATACACTGGCATATTCAAGGGTGGCTGTGTCTTTAAAAGCTGTGCTCACCCCCTTTTTATTGGATGGTAGAGATGGATTTTGTTAACCAATAGGATTCAGAACTGTACAAAGAGATCTACTCCCTCCCCCATGCAGCTTCAGCTCCGTACACTTACATGGCACAGAGCTTGACGAGAGGGAATGATGCTTTTTTCGGAATTAACAGAGAACAACATTTATTTAGTTGTTGGTATGAAGCGATTTTTTACCTTTGTTTTGGATTAATGCTGTATGTATGGCAATGGCTGTTTACTATCTGCTTTCCCAACACCTAAATGGGGGATCATTTTAACGGATTGGGGATGACAAAGACAATGGGATACAGAGACTGGAGATGGCAGGCGCTTTGGTGGCATCATTTATTTCTCTTGTGGACTACAATAAACGGACAGACTCGTTACAGCATCCCGGAGGAACTAAAACAGGGCTCTGTGGTAGGAAATCTAGCCAAAGATCTGGGTCTGGGACTTTCTGACATTTCTGACCGTAAACTACGTGTCGCCTCTGAGGCTGGAGAGCAGTATTTCAGTGTCGATGCGGGGAAGGGCGAGCTGCTGGTGAATGACAGAATAGACAGAGAGGCTTTATGTGGACCAAGCGCGATCTGTGTGTTAACTCTGCAAGTGGTGATTGATAAACCGTTACAATTGCACCGAGTTGAGGTGGAAATACAAGATGTTAATGATAATTCTCCACGATTCCCTTCCCAGGAAATAGCATTACAAATAGCCGAGTCGACAGCAGCGGGGGCACGTTTTCCATTGGAAATCGCGCAAGATCTTGATGTTGGAGGAAATTCAGTGAGGTCTTACACTTTAAGTAAAGACGATTTTTTTAGTTTAAAGATAAAGGATATATCTGGTGGGAGGAAA